AAAGCAATGGCCTCCTATAAGCTTCATTACACCTGCTGTCCCCCAACCTGGAATACTCTCCATGCACATGATCACACACCAACCCTTCAGTCTCTGCTCAAATGTCACCATCTCAGTGAGTGCCCTATTGTAAATGTCAACATGCACACACAGACAGACACACACACACACACACACACATCCTATCCCTTCACCCTCCTTTTTCTCCTCGGCATTTCTTGCAATGTGATCTTACTTATCTTGTGTCTGTCTGCCTCCATGAAGACCAGAATTGTGCCTGTTTTGTTCCCTGCTGTACCCCCAGTTTCTAGAAGAGTGTTTATTAATGTGTGTTGAGTTAAATATGTTGATCGGTTGTCACTGAGGAGGCAAAACAACAGGCTGGTTCTTTCCTGGGACACTGCTAGTTCCCTTACAAATAGACCTGGGTGCGTCCGTTCACCAGGTCCCCAGACATGCCCAGACCTGCCTGAGGCCTGGCGAGCTCAGCTCCACTCAAACCAGAAAGCGCTGCTGGGGGTAAGCAGCAGCTGACATCCTGGGTGTGAAAGATTACTGCGGGGAGGAAGATGGGCCCTGCGAAGAGAAGAGCCATGGGCTGCGGGAACGCTGGGAGGACAGCATTCCCAAGACACCCAGATGAAAGGGGCTGGCCTGGGAGACAACAGAGAAAGAGTCGTGCCAGGAAAACTAGGGGAGCAGAGGGGTGGGGTATGGCTGATGGTGTCTCCTGCCCCAGGGAAGTCTGTAAGTAGAGCCCCGGAAAGCCCATCTAAGTAGAAGCCTTTGCCCAGTTTCCAGGAAATTGTGAGAGGAGAAGCCAGAGAGGAAAGAGTGGGAGCCCGAATGGTTGGAGAAGTGGATAAAGGGAGCAAAGACAACTTTCTCAACAAACTTTGCTGCAAAACAATCTATATAGGCCAAGAGAGCGGGATACGCAGAGGACTTTTGTAATTTGAAAGAGATCTTCGTATTCCTTTTCAGGGAGGAAGAAGCCGATGAAGAAGAGGTTGAAGGCACAGGCGATGGAAGGATACTCAAAGGAGTAATAATCCAGAGAAGGCAGGAGGATGAGAGGCTTACCACCTGTGGACGGTTCAGTCTTAGCTCAGCAGAGGGACCACCCTTCCTCGGAGAAGGGGACAGAGAGGAGAACACGAGCAGAGAAGTTCGCTGGTGACAGGGCAGGAAGTGGCGGCAGCCACACTGAGGACATCTCTTCCAAAAAACAGGAAGCAGTCATGGATGGGAGGCAGGGAGGCTTGCAGAAAGCACTAGGGTCTGAAAGGGCTGTGAAGGGAAATGGGAGAAGGAGCTGACAGAATCCATGTGAGAGGCTTTGGGAGCAGCATCTCCCAAAATGAAGCAACAGCAACAAAACATGTAACTTCTGTTTGGGATGCAGCTGCTGACTGAGGCTGTGTGATCTGCGCAGCAGAGGAGGGGGCTCAGCCGGTGAGGGCAAGGGCTGGCTCAGCCAGAAGCAGGAGCAGGGAGTGTGTGCACAAGGACGGGAGACCATGAGGACGCCAGGCCGGCAGGCAGAGGGGCAGAAACAGCAGTGCATTGAGGATGGGCTCTTTTACTTGGTAAGTGGGGAGGAGGCCAGGAACTCAAGATCCCCATGAGATCCTAGAAGAGGTTTCGTGGGAGAGAGGGGCAAGCAGGAAGGAGAAGAGTTCAGTGAGCTGGATACTTCGGAGTTGGGATGACAAGCTCCCTGCTGTGGCCTTGAGGATAGGAGGCTGGATGGAGGGAGAGCTTGGATGGAGGTATCAAGAGATGGCTGATGCAGTGCTGAGGACTCCCAAGATGATGGCACAGTTTGAGGGAAACGAGCAGTGAAGTCCTCAGACCTTGTGAGGGGAGACCTAAGATATGTGGAGGCCAGTAATGAGGGTGATGTGGGAGAGACTGAGACTCCCTCCCATATCCATCAGCCCCTTCTTCCTTAGCAAGAAGAGGTTAGATTTTTAGCCACAGCCATTGCCACCCAGACTCTTTAAGATCACATGGCTCATCCTAGCCGGTCGCTGGGAGTGGCTGTGTCCCTGCTCTAGGGTGCTCTGGAAGCCCTTCCTGCTCCCTTCTCTCTGTGGCCGACCTGGAGCTCTGACGTGGTGGCTGAGGTGTGAGCCACATCTTGGGCCATAAGACGAGGCTTCCACCTTAAGAATGGGAGAACCATGAGCGGGAAAAAGCGTGGGTCCCCGAAGACTTCATGAAGCCAAATTACCTGCTCGGGACGTTCTGCCTCAGAGACTTCTTTAACTTAAAAAACAAAATCTCGAGTGTTTGAGATACTGTTATTTTGGGTTTTCTGTCAGCAAATGAACTAATTCTAAACATGACAGATGGTCGAGGAGGATGGCACAGATCTCAGCAGAGAAGCGTTTTCTAGAGGAGGGTGAACACATATTTGCCTGTAAACAGCAGTAAGAAGCTTCAAGATGCCAACAGTGGGTTCCAGGCCTTAGGTAAACGGGGGGCAGGAGAATGAGCAGCCTCCACTCGCAAGGGCTGTCACCCATTGTGTCCTCAGCTCCAGTGAGAAGGAGGAGAGGGCCCTAGCCATGGGGAACTCCCGTCAACGGAACAAGCTTTCCAGAAGGCAAAGCCAAAAGCCTTGAGAGCCAGGGAGTGCTGTAGTAGGAAGAGTTGGGAGCTGTGGAGTCAGAATACTGTATGGCTGAGTATAAGAAGGGTCCATATTGGAGATAAAGGTCAAAAATGAGGCCCAGGATCTCCGAGACCCAAAATTTCCCAAGAGAGTTTAGCCATTTCCTGCTGTGATTGTCAGACTGAAGCTGACTCCGGTTCCTTCCTGCAGCTGACTCCTGAGGGCAGGAGAGGGAGCTGGCCTGGGCTGGAAGGCAGGGAGAGAGGACGTCCCCTCCTGCAGTGGGGGCCAGCATGCCTGGGAGCAGGCAGGGGAGCAGCCCAGAGCTGAGAGCTCTTGAGGCTGGGATGGCCATATCCTTTCCAGGGGTCATGATCTTAGTCTCAGGTTTCCCATTTTCTTTCCTCAAGTATTTTAGTCTTGTTTTTCTAATCGAATTTCCATGTTAACTTCAGAGGAGCCTACTGTATGTTTCTATTTTGATGGGCAAATCCTATTTAACATTGGAAATGTAGATTCTGGACAAGTGTGTGGGCCTTGAAGAGGGACTTTTTTTTGTTTTTGTTTTCTTTGAGATGGAGTCTCACTCTGTTACCCAGGCTGGAGTGCAGTGGCACAATCTCAGCTCACTGCAACCTCCACCTCCCAGGTTCAAGCGACTCTCCCACCTCAGCCTCTAGAGTAGCTGGGATTACAGGCACATGCCACCATGTACAGGTAATTTTGTACTTTTAGTAGAGATGGGGGTTTCAACATGTTGGCCAGGCTGGTCTCAAACTCCTGATCTCAGGTGATCCGCCCGCCTCAGCTTCCCAAAGTCCTGGGATTACAGGCATGAGCCACTACACCCCACCAAAGAGGGATATTTTATAGGAGGCAGCCTGCCAGGGGGACTGCAATGCAAAACTGGTCTGAGGAAGACCTGCCTAGTCAAGCACGGTGGTGGGAAAGGAATTAAAGACTAAAATAGAAAGGGGCAGCTCTGGGGATCAAAGGCTAACAGGAAGACAAGATTCCCCTTCACTAAGTGAAATGCAGGGGCCACATGTGAGAAGGGAGCCAGGTTCCTGATGAGATCCTAAGCCCGGAGGAGCTGGACAGGCCTGCAGTTACCTTAACCAGCTTCACAGTGCAGACCACAACCTGCTTATAGGATCCCAATGTTGGCGTGGGTGGATTAATAATCAGGAATTCTTGCTGTTGGCACACACTCTTGAGCTACGGCTGCCTTGATTCCCCCCACCCAGGGTGAGAATTGGGCTGTGGGCTTGGGGCAGAATGGGCGAGGTGGGGTGGAACTGGACTGGGACTGAGGTCAGGTTTCCAGCTGTGGGGAAGAAAAGGCCAGCAGAGGCCGAAGATCAGACAGGGCCAGATAGATTGTGCAGGAGCCTGCAGCCACAGCCATTGTCCTGAAACTCATTCGCCTTCTCTCTGTTAACCCCAGATGGAGGAATTTAGCCATGCTGCCAGGGACAGCTACCCAAGTCACAGGGATGGTACCAGGCAAGAAGTAAATAGCCTCTTTAATGTAAACATGGACTCTAGAGCCAGGGTTCTTATTAGAATCCCCTGTGTGCTATGAAAAAAAAACAAAACCCAAAGCTTGTGCTCTGGCTGCACCCCAAAGCAATAAAATCAGACTCTCCAGGGATGGGAACAAGGCAGCAGTGGCTTTTAAAGCTCTCCAGGTAGGCTGGGCGCGGTGGCTCATGCCTGTAATACCAGCACTTTGGGAGGCTGAGGCAAGCGAATCACAAAGTCAGGAGTTTGAGACCAGCCTGACCAACATGGTGACACCTCATCTCTACTAAAAATACAAAACTTACAAAAATTAGCCTGGTGTGGTGGTGCGCACCTGTAATCCCAGCCACTCAGGAGCCTGAGGCAGGAGAATCACTTGAACCCAGGAGGCAGAGGTTGCAGTGAGCCGAGATCCCGCCATTGCACTCCAGCCTGGGCGACAGGCTCATGTGAGCACTGAATGTGCTTAAGCAGGCCCTGGCTCAGAAGAGCTCTTCAGCAAGTGCAAGCTGCCGTTATTTGTGGTAGTAAGGATTCAGTTTGCAAACGCAAACCTGAATAGTGATGGCTCTCCTGTTTAGCTCTTTTGGGATTTGTCAAATCTCACCCTTTTCCGAAGTTGAGTGATTTGTGGGGTGGGGAGCAGTCAGGTTCTGTGGTGCTGATGGGAAACGCATGCTGATGTTTCTAAACAGGACAGGCTCGGAGAGAAAAGCAGGTCCCACACAGGCTGATAATTACATCTTAAAATGAGAAACTACCTTTCCAGGAAATCATCTACTTTTCAGCATTTAATTTTTTTTTTGTAAAAGTTTTGTTGAGATATAATTCACATACCATACAATTCACTCATTTAAAGTGTATAATTCAATGGTTTTTAGTATATTCACAGAATTACACATTTTGTTGTTTTGTTTTCATAAATCGTCTTCTGAGGGCTTGTTACATTTCTACTATATTTGGTGTTCCTGGTGTAGTCCTAGAAAAACACTGTTTATCCAGCACTCATCTGCTCCAAACTTCAACATGCCCAGAATAGATGGTTCTTCAGGATGTGACCTGTGACCATTTGAGCAGGGCACTGCTCTGAGTGTTATTTTCAAGTCCCTGTTACAGAGATCACATCAGAAGACTAAGGCACCACCAGCAGCACCAGGCTGGGTAAGCAAAGCTGCCCCTTGGCAGCCAGCTCCACGGCGGAGACACAAAGAAGGTTTACAGAATCATCCTTAGAAAGACCTGGGAGGGCAGGGGCAAGAACAGCAGCCTCTCCCTAGCTGACATCTCACCAGGGTTGGCTAAGCAGTCCTCCCCTTGCCCCACGAGTGGCAGGACAGCTCCCAACACTTCTTTAGGCTTGAAGCACATGGGGAAGGGCGAGCCTCCCAGGATTCTCAGATGGAAGCAGCCTGCAAGGCTGAACCATCTAGAAGGCGAGAGCTCCACGTGGGGACTGCTGGCTTTCAGTCAGGGGCCTCCCTGACTGAAACTCCCTGACTCAGTTCAGAGTCCCAGAGTTCAGGGACTCTGAACTGAGTCTCCTATTCTCCCCATCTGTCCATGGGACCCCTCCTCATCCTTTGTTTCTATTTAGTGTTAGAGATAAAGTTCCTCTGAGCACTGTGTTGGCCCTTAACTTCTACAGTTTTAGTCAGTTCTTTTTTCCTGCCATCATCGAGGTGGTTTTCAGAAGTGTGAGTCTGTGTGCACGCTTACATGAACACATACACAGACCGACGAAGACTGTGCTTTGCAATCTCCAAACACGACTAGCAGGCTCCACACCATGAGTGACGCTTCCCTCCTGGATAGAGGTGGCATCATCACAAGGAATTGTGGGTAACAGGGGAGACGGCCTCGGCTGGTCAGGGTGGCACCAAAACCTCTCTCAACCACAGTGGGTTAAACTCACTTTAAACCAGCGCTTCCTTAATTGCTGAAAAGTTAAGAAGCACCTGATTAAAAATGCAAGTTCCAAGAACCCATCTCCAACACCCAAAGCAGAATTTTCCGGAGAGGCCAGGCCATGTCTTCAAGTGCCCCGGGTGATTCTTGCCATAGGAAAGCTTCCTCTTCTTCAAAAAATTCAGACACCCCCTACTAGAGATTCCTCTGGTTTCACAGGTGGGAGGGAAGGATGGGGAAGGCATAAGACTGGGGAGGGGCCACTAGACTGATGTTTTCCAAACACTCCCCAGGAGGGTCTGATGTGCAGGAGAGCTTCAGCTGGGCTTTGTAATGATGATTTCTGTGACGTTTTCTTTCTTCAGAATAAGGTTTTCATCATCATACCTTTTTGAAAAAGTTCTGAGTTATCAAACACTGTGCTATGCACCGATGAGGCATTTCATGCACATGCCGGCATTCAGTCTTCTCAACACTTTTTATTGGTTCTATTTGTGTCCCCATTATCCAGATGAGGAAATCGAGACAGCTTAAATCGTTTGCTTCAGGCCACTTGGCTGAGAAGCAGCAAACCTATTTCCACCGAATCCCAGGCCAGCCGCTGAGTGCCACACTGCTGTGCTCAGCCTGCCCGCGAGGGCCCATGGGGACAGGGATGTTCTGAGAGCTATGGGGCACTATTGGTCATATCCCAAGGCCAGTTCCCCAGGAGAAAATGGGGATCCTTCCAAAAGTGTGCACACCTGCTTTGTACTGGCATGGTGGGCTGTGTTGGAAGTACCTTTAGGCCAGTAATTCTTAGGTGATGATACATCAGCATCATCTGGGATCTTATTAAAAATGCAGATATCTAGGTCCTAGCCACAGAGATTCGAACTCAGTCTGTCTGGGAGGCAGTTCAGGAATCCGCTTTTGTATAAGTATAGCCAGTGATTCTGAGGCAAGCAGTTGGAGGGGACTGTGCTGAAGAGAAAAAAGGAAAGAGAAAGCCCTGAGTGAGGAAACCTCCCCCGCCATCAGGATAAGCACCCCTCTTTGAGGGCGGCAGAGGCTGCATCCTGTGTGATATTTTATCCTTTCTCCCATATCCGGAGAGTTTTGCTTCTCCTTTAAGACCCGCCTCCCATGTCACTCTTGCTCTGTGCCGTCCTTCTCCACGGCTCCGGAAAGAATTCACCTCAGGAATTTCATAGACCTTTAAATCCAGGCTGTCCCTGGACTTAAAGGCAAAATCCAGGCAAGTGCCTCCTACACCCAAGAAGGATACCAATAATCACCCTCAGTATCCCTTCTGGGGAACCCGGCGCCACCCCGATCCTGCCCACAGAGTCCTCCGGCAGCTGCTGCCACATGACTGGAGCTGCCACACTCCATGCTGTGATTTAGTGCTCACCACGTCCCTAACACTGGACTAGGCTCAGGCAGTTCAGAAAACGGTCTGGCAGGGCCACTATTCTCAAGGGGCCCGGAGTCAGCCTGTGTGGGTGTGGGGCGTGGGCACATCACCTCTGGAGCATGAACAGTGCCTGCCACTCCTTCTTTCTGGAGCCATGGAGAAGGACTGGTGCATTTTCTTTATCCAGTTGGCTCAAATGGTAGTTTTCTCTGCCTAAATCTCTGTGGGTGATTCACCCTAAGGTGAATAAGTTACAAGTCCTAGGCTGCTGTCTGCTGAGCTGCAGCTGGACGGCCCGAAAGCTGGAGAAAGCCCAGTTGCTGAGCTGAGGCTGAGTGGCCTGAGCAGATGTCCAGAGACTGGCAGGCACTGTTCATGCTCCAGAGGTGATGTGCCCACGCCCCACACCCACACAGGCCAAGACTCCAGGCCTCTCGAGAACAGTGGCCCTGCCAGACCCTTTTCTGAACTGCCTGAGCCTAGTCCAGTGTTAGGGACGTGGTGAGCACTAAATCACAGCATGGAGCGTGGCAGCTCCAGTCGTGTGGCAGCAGCTGCCAGAGGGCTCTGTGGGCAGGATCAGGGGTGGCGCCGGGTACCCCAGAAGGGATACTGAGGGTGATTATTGGCATCCTCCTTGGATGTAGGAGGCACTTGCCTGCTACATGTTTGCCAGCTGTGTTCATTCCCTGGGGCTGCGGCAACAAATTACCACAAACTTGGTGGTTCCTAACCACAGAAATTTATTCTGTCACGGTTCTGGAAGCCAGAAGTCCAAAATTAGCATCACTGAGCCAAAATCAAGGTGTTAGGAGGGCCACACTCCCTCCAAAGCCTCTAGGGGAGAAGCTTCCTTGCCTTTTCCAGCTCCTGGGAACCCTAGGCATTCCTGGATTGGTGGCTGCATCACCCCAATCTCTGTCCCCGTTTTCCCATGGCCATCTTCCCCATGTGTCACAGTTCCCTCTTCTTTCTCTTATAAAGACAGTAGATTCAGGCTGGGTGCGGTGGCTCATGTCTGTAATCCCAATACTTTGGGAGGCTGAGATGGGCACAGGAATTAGAGACCAGCCTGGGCAACATGGTGAAACCCCAACTCTACACAAAATACAAAAATTAGCCAGGCCTGGTGGTGCACACCTGTAGTCCCAGCTGCTCAGGAGGCTAAGGTGGGAGGATCTCTTGAGCTCAGGAGGTGGAGGCTGTGGTGAGCTGAGATGGTGCCACTGCACTCCAGCCTGGGCAACAGAGTGACCATGTCTCAAACAAACAAACAAACCAAAAAAAAGAGACACTAGATTTAGAACCACCCTAAATCCAAGATGATTTCATCTCGAGATTCTTAACTACATCTGCAGAGACCCTTTTTCTTTTCCAGATAAGCTCATATTCACAGTTACTGGGACATATTTGGTGGTGGGGGGGACACAATTCAACCCACTGGGCCAGCCTTGCACTAAATAAACGTCAGTGGTTAAGTACTTCCTCCCCCCATCCCTTCCCCACGCAAACCTTTCAACACCTAATGCCAGCACACCTCTGCTTTTACCATGGATGGGCCTGCCTGGGTGTCAGTTTTGCCTCATCACAGGCCTCCTCTCCAGCCATGAGGACAGCAGGGGATGTGGAGGGCCAAGAGGGCCAGAAATCCTCCTGCTCCAAAAGGATGATACAATGAGCACCAAACCAGCTCACTCTGTTGAGTGTGCCCAAGTTTGCGCCAGAGTCGGAAGCCAGTGCATGCACAGAGGCCAAGGCCATGGTCAGGTGCCCTTGCCCCATGGACTCATGTAGTCCCCTGTGAGCAGCATGTGCCACCGGAAGCTAAGCCTCTCCTGCTCAAAGGTCACCCACATCACAAAAGGCAGTTGTGGTATACACCAGGCTGCAAAGGCCTGCCCTTCAATCCCCCTCCACCACCTTTTGTGCAATCTGGCCTGCTACCACTCATTTCACTTCTCTGAACCTCACTGTAAAATCAGCCTGGTAGTAATACCTATAGGCTTAAATCCTTTCTGCAGCCAAGCATCAATAAGTAAATTCATTCTTCCTCCAAGGTTCATGGAGCAGGGTAAATGAGTGAGTGTGAAAGCTCCAGGCCCACAGTAGGCATTGCATCAACTTCTCATATGGAATAAAAAGCATTTGACAACACCGCAGGTGTGTCATTCGGTATTCACTGGCTTTGGACACACTCCTTATCTTTAACCTGCACCTGCACACTGGTAACTCCAAAATCTTTATCTGCCTCCTGCGTATCTGACTGCCTGGCCCACCTCCATAGTCAAACGCCTTATCCCCCACCCCTCACCTGCTCCTTCCCCTATCAGCTGGTTCTAAAGGAGTAACACTGCCAGTCCAAACACCTCACTGTCCCATCACCTTCTCCTTCACCCCCAAATCAGTCACCAAGTGCTACTGATTCTTTTTCCTTAATATTCCTCCAACCTCTTTCCACCTCCTTATGTCCACCTTGTCTTCACATGTTTAAGGCCACATCATTTCTCACCTGACATATTGCAACAGCTTCCCTTCTTAGTCCCTTCCCTAACTTATGTTGACAAGACTGACATTTCTAAGATACGGATCTGATCATCTGCCAGGATGGTATAGAGCCTGTGGGCAAAAGCCCAAATTCGTCAGCAGGGCTGCTAGGCCCTTGTGACTAGCCCAGCCTACCCCTCCAGCTGAATCTCCCCTCCTCCCCCTAAACCACAGCCACACTGAGCCCCACCCGCCCTCATTTCTGCATGACTTTGCTAAGCTGTTGCCTTTGCCTAGAACATTGTTTTATCCATTCCTCATGATTAATGTTATTGACCCTTATTCAACCTCTAACACTCAGCTCCTTCAGAAGGCCTTCCTCGCCTTCTCTCTCCAGGCTCCTATAGCATCTCGTTCTGTGCTTCACACAACATTTACCAAATTATGTCAGAAATGCCTATTACTTATCTGCCTCACAAGCCACACATCCCTATCCCCTGCCCCAGAATGTGAGCTCTTGGAAGTTAGAGACTGTGTCTCTTCTCTCTATATTCCCACCAAGCATCTGGCCCAGTATCTGTCAATAGTCAGTGCCTTAATAAATGTTTGTTGAAGTCCTGAATGCCAAGGACAGAGCAACAGGATGTGGCAAGATATAGAGCCTGTGGTTGATTTTTATTTAAAAATACCATGTTATACCATGAACAAAATGTGAGCAACATCCTCAATAATGTTTTATTGGAACATACCAAAGTGTTCTTCTTGTGGCCATCTCTTCCAAGAGCTTAACATGAAACTCAACATAGTGAAGGTCTTCTGCTAGGAGACTGGGCTAATGTAGTCCTTCATAGAACTTTCTGGGATCAGCATCAATACATACAAGAATCATTGCTAAAAAAGTAGTCAAATAGCATACCCTTAGGAAGCCGAGATTTTGATAGGATCTAGATCACTATCAGCTCAAGGTTAAATTTCCTGAGTAGGGCTCAGAGAACACACATCCTGTGTGGTCGGTTAGAGAAGAATCAAGTGTTTTGGATAACAAGTGTACAGGTGGCATGGATACATTCTATTTGGAAGGCTGAGCAGCCTGTTAAAGAGATGAAGCCTGCCCTATCTCCACCTGTAGGTAGGTCACAACCTCCTTTACAGAAACCCTACACTTCAGTTATGCTGGATATTCACTTTCTCTAAATACATCTTGCACCTTTCCTTACCTCTGACATTTTCTGGAAGGCAGCTGAATGCCCTCTCATTCTAATTTTTACTTAGCAAGGCTCTATTTATATGCCAAGGTCCAACTCATTGTGATAGAGTAATGGAGATAATAATACCTATTATCTGTTTCTTCCACATTAAACTTTTGGCTGGGCACTTGGCCACCTGGCTATCGACTACATTTCCCCATCTCCTTTGTAACTAGATGTGCTAAATGACCAACTTCTGGCCAACAGGATATGTGAGCCATTTCTGGGTCCGGGCCTTAAAACACCTATTGTATATTCCTCCATCCTCTCCACCTAGCCCAGAAGCTGGAACACTAATGTGGCAATGACCAAGTTTTAGCCATACAGATGAGGCCAACACCTTGTGGAACACTGGAGCAAAGTAACAAGATAGAGCAGAACTGAGTCCCTGAATGACCTTGTGGAGCTGAGCTATCCCAGCAGCCTCAACTGCCACCTACATCTGCACGATCACAGGAGAGAGAAATACAATTATATCTTAAGATTGATCTTATATAAATCACTGTGTTTTGGGGGTCTCTGCACTTTAACTTAGTTAATTATACATAATTTCCTCTGGGAAGCTTCCCTAAGAGTTCTGTCTAAAGTCCCAATATGCCTGTTTGGTGCTAATGCTTTCACCACACTCCACGTGGCATCACAGTGACCTCCGTGCATGTTGGTATGTCCCTAGTGGACTATAAGATTCCTGAGGGCAAAGGCCACACCAGTTTCATTTTTCATATCCCCCAGAGTAGTTAGCACAGTGTCCTGTGCATGGAAGTCACATTTGTTGAAGAAATGAGAGAACAAACAGTACTTGCCACTCGAATACTCTTTTTAGTGGTGAAACAAAGATAGCAGCAGCAAAGTCAATACACACCATAGTTAAACAGAAACCAGAGAGAAAGCAGCTGGCAAATAAGAGGCCTGGTGCACTGAACTGGGGATGGTAGTTCTCCAAAAATAAATGTATTGTGGCAACAAAGCCTGAGGAGACTTAGGGAAAAATACAGATGGTTACTGCAGCCCTGGATTGGAGCCTTCCTTCCACTCAGTGGCCCTGTGTCCCTCAGAAGACCCAGATGGAGGTGGCCACGTGCTCTCAGCACCTGGGTTATCACTTCTGCAGATTGGACAACCACGCTGTGGGCACTTGTCCATAGAGCCAGATCTGGAAATAGAGTTTCTCGGAGGTACCCGGAGAGGGGCACCAACTGTATTCTCCCAGGCCATCCCAGAAAAGTGGAAGAAGAGAGTATTTCACAGACCATCAGTAAAACACTCAACCATAAGTGTGTGGGGCTTAGGGCCAGACTGTCGGGTTTGAACCCCAGCTCTGCCACTTACCAGCTGAGCAACCTAGGATGAGTGACTTCACCTCTCTAAACCTCCATGTCCTCATAGAAATGATAATACTGCCTAGTCGTGAGGTTGTTGCAGGATTGAGTTTATACATTAAGGCACCTTTTGTTCCCAAAATGGGTATTTTGAGTACAAAATACTCAAAATGGGTATTTTGGGTAACCCTTTGTACAATACAGCAAACAAAATACCAATTTTCCAGGTTTTAAAAAAAGAACCCAAGGCTCAAAAAGATTACATGATTTGCCAGAGGTCTCGGTCAGAGAACAGGTTCCAGGCTCTCCCTCTAAACCATGTGCTAATGGGGAGCTCTGCAGCCTTTACCTGGGTGCTCTCATCCTGGGTCCTGGCCTCAGAAGGGAGCAGGCCCAGGAGGCTGAGAGCTGAGGGTGCTGTAATGCCCCCTCCTGTTTCAGTGGTTTCTCAGGAGTCGAGGGTGAGGAGCCCGACCTCTGCGGGCACCACCTACCTGTCGCCCATCCCCAGCAGGCCCCAAGGAGCTGAAACCTCTGTCAGCCTGGGTCTGGACCAAGAGGATGGGATGGGGCACCAGGAAGATGCCTGGATGTTTGCTGATAAAAACGGATGAAAATATGTGAGGGGACCTGAAAGGCACGGATGACATTGTGAGCAAGTGTTAAAGGACGGGATGCATGAGGAAGTGTAAAGGAGAACACGGACAAAGTGTGCTTGGGCAGGGCCGGAGCACAGGTGCTTCCTGAGGTGTCCTGACCCTTCAGCTGAGGTAATAGGAATAAAGCCAGGCTCTCTGTGTGAGAGACAGCAAGAGAGAGAGAGAAGAAGAGACACAGATGTAAGCGGTAGACAGAGAGTCCTGATGTCAAGGAGACATACAGTGAGAAAGGAAGGATGGAGGGAGAAGAGAGAAAGAAGGGAAGGGGAAGAGAGGGGACGAGAAGAAAGAGAGAAACAGAGGAGGGAAGAGAGACAGAGAGCCACCCAGCACCCCCAAAGCTGTGGCTGCCTTCGCCATGTCTGACTTTCAAAGTGCCATCCCCTTTGCCCCACAAACAAACAAAAAGAGAACAGCGGCTTCTCTTCCTGAGGAATGTGCTGGAATGTTCTGATCGATGGGTGCTGACTAGAATCCTCAGCCTTGGGTCCTGGCTAAGGACTTCACTCCCCACTTTCCTTCCTCTTCCTGACAAGACCCCCTCCCTCTTCCCTGAGCTCTGTTTCTTCCATGAGGTTGAAGAAAAATGCCGTCGTGGTCCCCTGTCTGCTTACTCGGTGTGTCAAGCAGGAGTTCTCGGCTCCAGTATGCCATGGAGGGCCTTGGGGAGAGGTCACATACCATTCCCATCCCCAGGTGAGAGTCACATAAAAACCAAGATCCAGACCACACCGCATGCCCACCAGGGGTGGAGAGGCCTGGAAGCTCCTCTGTCCCTTAGGGACTCCACCATCTTCCAGGGCCCAGCAGACACAGCAGTGACTGCAATCATGGCTCCCCTCTAGCCTGAAAGAGTGCCATCCCTGGAAAGGGCTGGCAGCTCTCTGGCCAGCTATTTCCAGTCCCCACTCCACACCCTCGCTGCAGGTCTCTGAGGCCCCTGGAGCTTGGCAGCTTCACACTTCACCCCATGAACTTCCTTCCAGGTCAGGCTGGACTCCAGGCCAGGTTCCTCCACTGCCCTTGTGTTGAGTACAGGAGAAACTTGAGCCAACACCTGACCTTGGGTTAGCTCCCTCCTCACATCTGCTTTGGAGATTCCAGTCTCCTCCTGCCCAGGCCTGCCTCTTAGCAGGGCCAGCAGGCTGAGCTGGAGAATTCCTGCACCCCAACAGCTGCATCCTCAGCTCAGTACCTGGACAACATGAATCCACCCCCTTCGTCAATAAGGTTCTTTCAGAGCTGCCAGCTCCCTCTGGAGAAGGCCTTTTCCACCCCTGTTCTTTGAGGCCCACAGCTAATTCTGAGTCTTATTATAACTGTATTCCCAACAGGTGTGACACACAGCACGTGCATAATAAAGATTCCTGGATGGATGACTCAATTTCTGACTCCTGGAATTCTATAGACCATTTTTTTAAAGTACTCTTTTTGTGTAACTGCAGTGCAGCTCAGCCTTTTCCTACCATTTCTGCCACAGGCACAGGAGCACTGAGGACCCTCCTTGACCTCCTGGATCAGAAAGGCAGAGGAAATGCTGTGCAGAAGTCAAGGTGTCAGTGGGCTACCCTCCTTCCAGAGGCTCCAGGGGAGAATCTATTCCTCGCCTCTTCCAATTGCTGGTGGCTGCTGGCACACCTTGGCTTGTGGCCACATTACTCCAATCTCGGCCTCCATGGTCACATTGACTTCATTTCTTCTATGTGCATCAAATCTCTCTCTGCTCCCTCTTATAAAAATACATGTGATTGCATTTAGGGCCCATGAATCAGCAATGTCATAAAAGACCCCAGTTCTTTCCCTGTCTCCTCTCTGCCATCTTTGGTGTGTTGACTTGACCCTGAAACTAATTTTCCTTATGGTCACAAGATAGCTGCCACTGTGCCAAATATTACGTGCAGTCTCAATGAAGGCCAAAGATGAAATAGAATCATCTCATCCTCGCCTCTGCCTTAAGAATAAGGAAACCTTTCTCAGAAGCCCTCTAGAAGAATGCCCCTTTCGTGCTTCCTTGGCCCTAATGGGTCACATGTCTATTCCTCAGCCAGTCCCTGGCAAGGAGAATGGAACAACCACCTTTGGCTTCCATTATGAGGATTCGCACTGTGGAGTGGGAACATCCATGCACTTATGTCAAGGAGAACAGATACCTGTTGGGAAGGAGGAAAGAGGGACATGTGTTGGGCAGGCCACCCAGGGACCCTTCAACAGTCTCTGTGACAGCTTCTCTTCCTGCTTCCTCTGCTACTCTGATCATTGTTTCTTGGTGTTGTCTTTCTCTGAAGGTCTGAATTTTTATTTCCCTGAGTGTTTTATGCCCAGATGTTTTCTGGTCTTACTCCACACGCTCTCCCTGGCAGTCTCATTCACCCCTATCACTTTAATTTCCATGTATAATCAAGTGTTCCTGAATGACAGCAATGGGGATACATTCTGAGAGATGAGTTGTTAGGTGATTTCACTGCTGTGTGAACATCATAGAGTGAATTTACACAGACCTAGATGTTATAGTTTACTACACACTAGGCTGTGTGGTGTAGCCTAGTGTTCCTAGGCTACAAACCTGTACAACATGTTACTGAGCTGAATACTGTAGGCAACTTTAACACAGTGGTAAGTTTTTGTGTATCTAAATGGAGATAAACATAGAAATGGCCCAGCAAAAATATGGTAGCATCATCCTATAGGACCATATGCAGTCTGTCATTGAGCAAAATGTTGTTATGTGGCACATAACTGTATATGTCCCAAAGTCCAAATCTATATCTCCTGCTCTTACTTCTCTTTTGAGCTTTGGTGCCAAATATAAAACTATATGCTTCTGACATGAAGCCCCAAGAGATCCTCAAACTCCATGTGTCTAAAACATAACCGCCTTTCCCTTCCCAATTTTCTCAAAGTTGTTCTTTTTCTGTCTTGTGTCTGTGGTTTGTGTTAGTGGAATCACCTTCCACTCTTGACTACTCCTTCTACCACATCAAATTAGTCATCAAGCCCTGGGACTCACGCCTGAAATCTCGAACTCATCCATCCTCCCTATCCTCATACTGTGCATAGGTTGGAGCCTCATCACGTCTCTCCTGGTGCATCACAACAGCTTCTCACCGGCCACTCTACACAGCCACCAGAACAATATTTCCAAACCACAGGTCACATTAAGCCCCTCCTTACCCACATCCCCTGGCTTCTGAAAACACCCACTGGACCTTCCATGAGCAGGTCACGTTTTGGCCACACCTTCGCCTCACCCCTTGCCCCCCTCACTCTGCATTCCAACAACAGTGAGCTTCCATAAGAGGTCGCCTCTCTGAGCCTTTGTGCATGCTGTTTCCACTGCCTGGTATGCCCTGCAAACTTCTATTCTTCCATTAAAACCTGGCTTAGTCAGCACCTCCTCCAGAAAACCTTCCCAGATTCCCCCCTTTTAAGTGAACCAGTGCCTCCTCTGTGCAACAGCTTTTTTCATTCATTCAATAAACATTTCCTGGGTACTTACCATGTGCCAGGCACTGGGTTACAACAAGGAACAAGACTGACACAGTTCCTGCCCTGCAGGAGGGAGAGGAAAAGGAATCACAGGTTTATAAGATTGTCGAACAAGAGCAATTGGCATAATGAAGGGAAGGGCCTCGGGGAAGACTTTCAGGGACACCTGAAGTACAACTAGGAGCTTATCAGAGGAAGGGGAGAAAGGGGTTCAGGCAGAGGGAACAGCAAGTGGCAAGGCCTTGAAGTGGGAAGGAACATGGTACATCTGGGAAATATCAAGATGACAAGTCTGAACCTTGTACACACCTAACTTGTTGGGCTCCTCGTAACGGGTTCACCTGCCCACCTGCCCTACCAGGAGGAAGCCCTAGAGGGTGGGCTTCACATCTGACTCACCTCTGCCTCTTACCAGCCGCAGGACAGTGCCCAGGGAGAGCGCAGGACATTTCTGATGAAGGAAGTGAAAATGGACCTAACAAAAGTATCGCTTGTTGTTACACTCAGGGTTGGGGTCCAGCCCCAGCTGAGGTCCGAAAGGTGTGGGTGGATGAGCAGATAGCTGAAAGAACATTCGGGGGGCTGAAGGCAGGTGAAATGTAATTTTATTCAGGAGCTCTCTCGTCAGCAGCTTACACTAGCTCTTTTACACTGTTCACCTTTATTTTGGCTGCCTGCTCCGGCTCAGCGGTTCCTCTCAGCAGCCAGCTCCCACACACACCTGCGTGGCCAGCTCTCCCTTGCCTTCAGGGTCAGCAGCTGAACTCCTTCTCTCTCTGGGTATGAGTAGGCTGAGCTGTGTCCTGTTTCCCCCTGTCCATCTGCAAAGTCGGACAGCTCTGGCTCTCTCTCTCTCTGGGTGCAAGTGCGCCTGTACGGAGTCAGCAGGCCAATTAAGCTTTTACAGACAATAGTGGCATAGGGCCAAGGCATGGCCTTCGCATGTTATGGCTACATGGCTGTGATAACAAGCAGAGCTATATGCCTGCACTCTAAACTCACTGAGTCATGCAGGCCTGGTTATCCACCTCAGCCTATTCTTAACCAAAGCACATCCATATACCTTACCCATGTAAACTGGGAGGCTCTCTGCCCAGGCAAGCTTATCCTCAGGGAAGGGGTTGGGATGGAACTCCCTTTCCCCAACTCATGTTCATGCCAGACTCCCCAGCAGGCATCCGGCCTAATGGGCAGCGGGAGTGACACTGCCACCACTGACCAGCTCCCTTCAGGTTTCCATCCCCTTGGTGAGTGTGGCGGATAGCCACCTCCTGATCCCCACTACCTGTAGCTGCCACCAATACCGAAAAGAGGGAGGGGCACTTTGCTACTGCATCCAGGATTCTGAAATGAGGAGTTGATCCCGGATTATCCAGGTGGCCCTAATAAGGCGGAGGCACACACAGGAGAGGAGAAGGCGATGTGGCCGTGGGGGCAGAGACTGTGACCACAGCCAAGAAACGCCGCAGCTGCCGCAGCCATCAGAGGCTGGCTCCCCTAGAGCCTCCAGAGGGAGCGCAGCCTGCCAGCACCTTGATTTCAGCCAGCAACACTGATTGTGGACTTCCGGCCTTCAGAACAGTAAGAGAAAAAATGCATACTGTTATAAGCCACCAGGTTTGCAGTATATGTTACAGGAGCCACAGGAAGCTAAGTCAGTGAGTGGCCTCATAGGATTCAACAAACATTTAGCAAGTGCCATACATGGCAGGCACTGTCATAGGTGCCAAGATGCAGCTGTGAACAGGACAGGGCAGGGCCTGCCCCGTGGAGCTGCAACCCAGTCAGATTACTTCCTGAAAGAGTGGTGCTTCCAATAATTACGGATGAGCATCACAGGTAAGCAGGAAGCAAAACTGGTAGCTCAAAAAAACCACACAGACCTCCATAAAATAGTGCCAATTCCTGTGCAAATTACATACAAATGCACTTGTTAAGACAGATGTCACCTTCAGAGAAAACACAAGACTATCTAGATCCCAGCTGCACGCCAGAAAGCCCGAGGGAACAGTACAGGTCAGAGGGAGCGGGCAGAGTCCTAGACACACTGCCTTTCTTCCCCTTCAGGGGGTTCAGCCTCCTGCAGAGGAGTCAGGTACAGTCATCACCATTGCAGCTGCAGCCCCACAGAAATGGCCTAACCCCTCAGGGAGGGCCCCTAAAGGAAAGTGCCCTGAAAGAGCGGCTTTCCAATGTTTACACAGAGATTACATGGAATTTACACCAAACTTCAGGGTGAGGTCATGACCCCGGGCGAAGGCTTGCTTCAGACGAGTCAACACATGTTGGACCTCAGAGACTCCAGCAAACAGCTTGCTTTCCCACAAGTAAGTTGGTCACATCAGGCGGGCAGTGACCTCATGTAATCGCCCAGTGTGGTGAACTCCACAACAACCATCCCCGTACAACCCGGGCATTACCAGATACCTGATGCTGCAAAATATCTGCTGATCTTCTTGGCCACAGGACTCGCTCTGTCTGAACAACCTGGGAGGAGGAGTCAGGGTGGGGCAGGGTGAGGGAAGTGGCCAGGACCCTCCTCATGCTGCTTCTGCTCCCTCATCCCATGACCCTGGTGAGCTCCAACCTCCAGGCCAGGCTTAACAACACCCCTTCTTTCCATCTCTTTTGAGGATTAAATGAGACAACAGATGAAAATACACTGAAAAGTGTTAGGTGCTAAACCCAGGCCGAGTGATGCTTTTAACCTGGAACTACTCAGTTGCCTCTGAAAGCAATGAACTCTATGCTGTCTTTGCAGGTACAAAAAGAAATCTTCCACTAAATTGTGTTTCAGTGGCTACAACTATGTGTTAGCTAATTCTTCCACCCTCTCACCTACCTCCAACTGCTCCAGGTGTGCAGCTCTGTGGCAGTTTCAAGAGTCGGGTACTATGTAGTAAAGAATTGACCTTATCCAGAGATGTCCGGCCATTGCCGGAGGTTCCTGGGAGGTACCTCTAAGTCCTGGGGATGTCCTGCCTGATAAGAGTATCTTTGTTTGCTTGGGGAGTCTTGAACCATATTGAAAAGCCTAACAGCGTGATTTATACTGGGGGTTTTCAGCCACAAAGCATCAGCTTGACCTGCAGAAGGGCTGGAGATGAACGGTCAGTCACATAGGGAGTCCACCATGTCTACCTGCCTGAGACCCAGTAAAAGCTCTGTACACAAAGGCTCGGGTGAGCTCCCTGGGGGGCAGTATTCCACGTGTACTGTCACATATCCTGGCCAGGAAAAGTTGGCGCTGCCCATGAGTCTACTGGGAGAGGACAGCCGGAAGCTTCCCTTTCGGGACTTTCTGCTCCATGCACTTCTTCCTTTGGCCCATTCCTTCCACTGAAATAAAAAATAAGTGTAACAGCTTTCAGTTGGGAAGTCCTCCTGCTGATTTATCAGATCTGAGTGTGATCAGACCTGATCCCCTCCCACTCTCACCACCCCTCAACAGACAATTGGTGTCAGAAGTGAGGTGATCCTGGGGACAGCCTTGCACTCTGTAACTTCTTAACTCTTTTTGTACCACGGACGCCTTTGGCAGTCTGGTGAAGCTGTGAACTTTTCTGAAGATGATTATTAAATGCACAAAATAAGATATATAGTATCCCAAAAAAACCAGTTATGTTGAAATGTATCAAAATATGTGCTTCTTTATTAAGATATTAAATAATAAGTTATAGTAGAGATTTACTATCTACCATAATTTTGAAGTAGCAACGAACAGCCAATATTTCGAGATATCTGCAACAACTATAAAGAGATGCAGATTTAAACCAGGCATGGTGGCTCACGCCTGTAATACCAGCACTTTGGGAGGCCAAGGCAGGCAGATCACTTGAGGTCAGGAGTTTGAGACCAGCCTGGCCAACATGGCAGAACCCAGTCTCTACTAAAAACACAAAAATTAGTCAGGCATGGTCATGGGTACCTGTAATTTCAACTATTCGGGAGGGTGAGGCAGGAGAATCGCTTGAACCCAGGAGGCAGAAGTTACAGTGAGCCGAGATGGCACCACCGCACCACTCCAGCCTGGGTGACAGAGTGAGAGACTGTCTCAAAAAAAAAAAAAAAGATGTAGATGTATATTAGTGTCAGCATCACAGGTGATGTATTTTGTTTCCTATATTCATAATTGAAATTAATTCTAAATTTCAATTAGAGGTCAGTGGAAATAAAGGTCTAATGTTTTTTTCTCATCCACAGTCACAAACCCCATAAATTCTATCCCTAGACCACCAACGGGTCCAGGGGCACCAGATTAAGAAGCCTAATCTAGGACTTGGATGATTATCTCACCCTTCCTAGCAGCTTAAGTTGAGCTGTCGTTGTCAATGTTGCTTTTAATGATAATAATTGTAGCTAATCCTCACTGAGCATTTGCTCTATGCCCAGCATAATGAATGTGAAAGTGCCATACACATATGAACCATTATTTTTATGTCATATCACTTAACGAGCTTTCTGATTGAGTTAGGAAAACAAGAGCTATCAATTTCGGCATGCTTAATATGGGTGAGGCACATACCAAGCACTTACAATGCATGCTTTCATTAGGCCTCACAGCAACCTGATGAGGTGGAACTGTCATTCCTCCCATTTTATAGACAAGGAAAGTGAGGCTTTGAGAGTTTAAGCAGCTTACCCAAATGATAAGGCTAGTAATTGGTGGAGCAAGAAATTCAAATCAGGTGTCTGACTCAAGACAGAGCACAGTTCACAAAAGTTAGCAGAATGGCACTCGGCAAACCAGGATGGCCATGGCGGTGCCACTGGATGACCTGACCACAGTGGTCCTGTGTCCAGACAGAAAAGACTGACCACTGAATGGAAATAGAGATAACTCAGCACAAGGTCCTGAACTGCATGGATTAATAAGTCAATGATTACTGAGGCTGTGGGGAAGTTTCTGTGCTAATCATTAGTGTTCCGATTCCAGAACCATAGGGGTCACAAAGATTAACCTGCTCAGTGAAGATCTTCCTGGTTTCTCTAAGGGTGCCCTTGATTGGCACACAAAGGATCCTGTGGGTGCTTCACAGCCTAGCAGCATCCTCAGTATCAGGCCATGTGGTCTTTGCTCTCTCCAAAATCATCATTATCATCATCATCATCATCTCAGAAGGTTCTTACTTGGAATGGACTGCAGATTCTACAGAGCAGCGATTGGCATCCAAGCCCATTCAAGGACCAGGATGCCCTACAAAGGCAAAGGCAGATGGGGAGGGGAGGGCTGAGACAGAGGCAGGGAAAAACAAACCTTACAAGACAAAATACAATACAGGAATGGAAATGATGTGGCACCAATGCCACCACTCCCCATTACCGCATGCAGTAGCAGAGATGCTACTCATAGTAACACTCGTAGGACACTATATAATTTCCCCTTAAATGAGCTCGATGCGGCCTCAGAATCCTTCTCAACACAGCTCTCTAGGTAGCTACAACCAATTGGTTGAACTTGACATACAGGTTGCAACCTATTTTTCATCGGATCCATGATACCAAAAGGAAAGAAGAAAAGTTATACTCTTGAAACAATGACATAAAACAAGAGTAGCTAACACTTATTGAGCATTTATTCATGCCAATTCCTGTTCGAAGCACTTTACATGTATTACTCACATTTTCTTCTCACTACAACAATCTTATGATGTGAATACTATTATCAGCCCCATTTTCCATAAGAGAAACCTGAGGCACGAATCGGTTGTTCCATATGACTTGTTCCATGTCACCTAGTGAGAAGGGAGTAAAGTTAGGTTTTGAATCCAGGTGGTCTGGGTCTAAAACTTGCATATTTAATTAGCCACTATGCTGTACTCATCCTGTCCATGTGCTGGGGGTGTTTTTAGCTATTGATCATTGCAAAAGACAAAGATGAAATGGCTTTATAGTTTTGCATCTTGATATAAGCAGAAGTGACATATAACATTCTAAAAGACTGTTCTCTAAAGTTTTCAGAGAGATGCTTTTGTCAGTCAATGCACTTTGCTCTGGTCCTGCTTCTCAATGTGGCCAATCTCTTCACTTTTTACTTCCCCAATGCAGCTCATCTGTACGCCCAGAGCTGGCCATACCAGAGCCCAGCACACAGCATCTACATTGAAGACTCCTGGCTGAGGCAGGGCCTCCCCGCTCTCCCTCCTCACCTTGTCAGGTCCTCCAGTGCCTGTGTATTTTCCCGACCCAACTGCTTGCCTATTTACAGATCCCTGGCACAGTCTAAAGTGGCCCAGCTAGACCTGGAAGCCCCCAGAATCCAGGTATTCTGTTAACATCAGGTGTAGAGGAGAACAGAGGCAGAGAAAGCCAGCTCCACCCCTGCCCATCGTGCTGATGGCAACAAGTCAAACCTCCAAGAAAACAAGTTCAGTGCCAGAATCCAAGCACTTAACTCGGCCACCATATTACATCTTTTATAGACAGAACTGAGGGGAGCTTTAGGAGAGGGATACAACCCATCTCAGCAACAGAAAAAAACCCATACATGCCCTTGTAGGTAGCTGCTCTTGGCAGCAGAAACAGGTGTGTCCTTTGAGATGGCCCCAAGGTCACTTCCAATCCCCCTCAAGGCTCCAAGCTCAGTGACTGCTGGCCAAGGCAGCCAGCAGGTGGCCGTGGCAGAGCGGGTGAGGTGCTGTCCACTTTGCCTCCGTTTCTGCTCAGACCAAGAGCACGGCCTCTTCTATGGGTGTAGGGGTAGAAATAAGAACTAGACCAGCAGCTCTGCATGATTAGTACTGGCGGTTCTAGTTATGACCCAGATTGGCATGGGGCCCACTAGGCTCCCACACCCAAATCCTGACAGGGAGTGAAGTAGAAGCAGAGTACGGGCGGGTTGGAGGATCTGGCTGGCTCAGTCCATCAAAACCAAGTCAGCATCAGCCGCCATTTGGAATTAACTCGACTTCCTCTATTCCTATCACCCATGCAAAAGGCAAATTTTCAGAAACCCTATTTAAAGCTCTCCAAGCACTTTCAATACATTTTGTAGAGTGCTTTGCAGTATATAATATTTTTCCTTTTGTATGTAGTATTTTATTTATTCTTATATGAAGTCTGAGAGCATGAGGGCAGATCTCTATGAGGAAGACAGAGTGGAAAAGCCACCAGCACACAGCAAGAAAGATAGCAGAAAAAAAATCCTAACCCAGATCGGACCCACTGCACCAAGCCAACTCCCCGCTGTGCTGATACCTCACAGGTGGTTCATTCATCCTGTAGAGTTCCTGGGTGTATAAGAAGCAGACGCAGAATTAGACATGGATCTCTGGGATCCCCTCACCCTTCCCTAATTGGCTGCCTGGCCCTTTGCCTCCCTCTTCCCTCACTCCCTCCACCTCCTCCCATCCTGGTAATTACCACTGGAGCAAATAAGTTAGGCCATTAGACACTCACCAACATTTGGTCAGCTTGCACCTAGCACTGGCAAGGCAGGGAGCAGCTGAAATGAGAGGGTTAGGCAACCCCGTCTCTACTGGGATTATAAATGTATAATTCTCTGCACTTATCTCTAGCTTTTTTGTAGAGAAAGCATTTCACAAATAGGTCAGGCTTAGGGTGAGTCAGACAGACAGAAGCCATTCACATCTGCTGAGGTCAAGAAAACCAGGTGGAGAGAAACATTCTCAGCAGTTCCCTGTGGCCAACGTGATCATGGTCATGTGCAATTCTGGTGAACCCCTTGCTTTGGGAAGTTTTCCCAGAAGCTGTCCAGAGGGCTCCAGGCACAGAACTTTGAAAGCACCCCATATTTTTCTTTTTGATGGTAGAACTTGGGATTGGTTCACCAAGCTGCTCAGGTCCAGTCTCAAGAGATGCCCAGGCCCCCAGAGGTCACCAGGTTCATAGGGGTCCTTATTCTTGAGGTACCCTCCACCCTCACTGTGGTGCCCAACCATTCTCCCTGGCACAGAAAAAAAGCAATACAGTAAAATGATGGCATAGTAAGATGTGGGTGTCACTCTTCCCAGAAATGATGCATCCACTTCAATAGAGGACACAGCAGGGATGGGTAAGAACTGGTAACTGGCTTATTGACCATTCTGGGCTCCTGGTTGTATAACTGGGTATTGCCTTTACCTTTCCTCTCTGCCTTTCAGACCTTCCCTCTCAGTTTTCTCTTCCCCAGCTGGGATGATATCTTGATAAGATTCTGAAACATTTTGGTCACTTTCAGATATTAACCAATGATGTTTATTTTTAGATATTAAAATTTCCAGGCCAATCTAAATGAAAACTTGAATCGCTTGGCCCATGCAAGTTTTATTCCCTCTCCTTCATCTTCCCCCGTTTTCTACCTCCATGCCTGACCCAGAGAGCAAAAACCTGCCATGGGGAGGGTCACAGTCTCTTCTTTGTCTCTCCCCACATTTCTACTCCTCCTCACGTGTTTACCACCCACTTCAGGCTCTCCAGGTTCAGGGCAGGGAGGAGAGATGGAAAACAAAGGATAAAAGTGTTCTTTAAATAAGCTGGTTGGTTTTCTTCTCTCTTCTGGCTTCGAGTTACCAGATTTTGCCAAAAAAAAAAAAAAAAAAATTAAAGGATGTCAAGTTAAATTGGAATGTCAGATAAACAACAAATACTCTTTTAGTATAAGAATGTCCCATGCACTACTTGGGCGTCCTGCGTTTTCTCTAGCAGCGCTCCACAGCTGCTGGCTATCTCCAGAGCAGGGCAGGTGGATTCGTTTCTCATGGCTGCTGAATTGTCTCAAACTCAGATGCATAAAATAACACACATTTGTTTTCTTGTAGTTCTGGAGGTCAGAAGTCTGACACAGGTAAGCAGGGCTGCATTCCTTCCAGAGGCTCCAGGGGGTAATCCCTTGCCTTGCTTTTTTCAGCTTCTAGAAGCCACTTGCATTCTTTGGCTTGTAATCCCTTCTCTATCTTTAAAGCCAGCAGCTTAGCATCTTCTCTCCTCTCTGACTTCTGCCTCCATCCTTGTATCTTATAGCAACCTGTGACTCTTATCACAACTCTTCTCTCTTATAGCAACTCTGTGACTGCACTGGGACCACCCAGATCATTCAGGATAATTTTCTCACCTCCAGATCTTTAACTTAAACACATCAGCAAAGTCCCTCTGGTCAGGTAAAACAGTATATTCAGAGGTTCTGGGATTAAAATTTGAATATCTTTGGGGGGCTGTTGTTCCATAACTGTCTGGGCAGGCTCTTTCCCTATCCCTCAAGGAGAGGATTTTTGTGGATTTTTGGAGACCTGCTTGCTGGGGATCCCCAGCGTGCCCCATTCTCTGATCTAAGCAGCATGGGCCATACCCTCTCCAGCTGACTGCCTACAATTCCTCAGCTCCTGCTTGTAGGTACCCCCCACCGGGGCTCCTTCTGCTGGGGTCTCCTCTCCTTGGCAGACAGAAATCTTGAGTGGAGTGCTTTCAAGTCCCTGGGGCCTGGATACCACCCAAGGGATCATGTCACCTCGGACCCCAAAGAAACATTCCAGCCCTGGCCCCAACAAATCGTGGATGTGCATGCCACTCCCAAGCGTTTAATGCTCAGATTCGGGAGGGAGCCACAGCGGGGAGCTACAGCAGGGAGTCGACACTCTTTCTCATTAAAGAAGTCTGCTTTGAGCAATCTTTAGCCTTTGATTAAATCTAGACTGGAGGTGGATGAAGTGCCAAGACCAGGACTTGCAGGACCAGTTGGAATACTTCTTAGCAACTTCTGCCTGGATGGTCTAGCACCTGTCTTTAAAATGTGTGTGTTGCAGGAAAAGAGGGGCGTGGCAAGGGAGATTGCCTGTTGTTCTAAGTTTTGGGTTTCAGCCAGTACCCCCAGACAACTGGAAAACTCTAGCGTATCCTTCTGGACAAAAAAATTAAAGAAAAAAAAAATCCAAAAGATAAATTTGCAGTAAAGTACAGGTGTTACCTATCCCAGAGGTACTTATGTCTCAAAAAAGGAGAGGGCAATGATTGACTCACATATATGGATTGCTAATGAAAAAACTCCCCACATCAACAATAAATCCTCACAGGAAATGGTGACTCTTTCCCTGCATGCCTATACCTGGCCCTGCCTACCTGAACCAGGCATCAGAATTCTGCAGAGGAGCTGGGCCCTAAAACCCACGTGAGCTGACACAAAGAGCCCAACAACGGCAGGTGGAAGGCAGTATGAATGGTGCTGGGATGGCCCACAGGCTTGGTTTGCATGCCCACTCTTAGTCCATGCAGGCTGCTGCAACCAAATACCATAACACGCTGACTTAAAGACAGCAGAAAAATATTTCTCGCAGTTCTGGAGGCTGGGAGATCCAAGATCAAAGCACCGGTAGATTGGGTGTCTGGTGAGGGCCCATTTTCTGGTTCATAGATGGTGCTTCTTGCTGTGCCCCAACATGGTAGAAGGGACCAGGGGTCTCTCTGGGGCTCCTTGGATAAGGGCACTAATCCCATTCAGGAGGGCTCCACTCCCATGATCTAATCACCTCCCAAAGCCCCCACCTCCTAATGCCCCCTTGGGAGTTAGGATTTCAGCATATGAATTTTGGGGGGAAACAAGTGTTCAGATCACAGCCCCCACCCTGCAGGTTGGTGGTGGCCGGCTATATTTGGAAGAGTACTAAGGCTGCCTCCTGATGCAGCAAGAAAGATGCACAATCAGTGTACAGCATCTGCCACGGCATGGGGGACAGAGCAGTGGCTTGAGGCCCTCTGTGGCCACAGAGTCAGTCTTGGGTATGAATCCTGGCTCCCTCAGTTACAATTGCATGACACTGGGGGAGTTGCTTAACCTCTGAGCACCCATTTCTTTTTTTTTTTTTTTTTTTTTTTGAGATGGAGTCTCGCTCTGTCGCCCGGGCTGGAGTGCAGTGGCCGGATCTCAGCTCACTGCAAGCTCCGCCTCCCGGGTTTATGCCATTCTCCTGCCTCAGCCTCCCGAGTAGCTGGGACTACAGGCGCCCGCCACCTCGCCCGGCTAATTTTTTGTATTTTTAGTAGAGACGGGGTTTCACCGTGTTAGCCAGGATGGTCTCGATCTCCTGACCTCGTGATCCGCCCGTCTCGGCCTCCCAAAGTGCTAGGATTACAGGCTTGAGCCACCGCGCCCGGCCTGAGCACCCATTTCTATAAACTGATAAAACCTGTCTATGATACAGGGTTCTAATGAAGTTTGAACAAAGTGATGTTTACAGAGCACCTGGGGCCTAGTTGCACCCAAGAAATGTCATTTCCCTTCTTTCCACATCTAGGATGCCCACATGTCAGCGTTTTGGGGCACCTTTTCTTGGTGGCTATATATTGGTGGTCACAGAAACAAGAAGGAGTACTTACCATTTAAACTCTACATCACACAGAGGCTAACCCATCTGTAACTGAGGACAGAGGCATCATTACATTAATCACTAGCCCTTCCCAGGTGTGACAAAATTCCTCTGGCGTTGTTTTTTGGGTGTGCCTGCTAGTTGGAATTCTGCAGAGACAGGTTTTCAGCTTCTAAAAGTCAGGTGGTGGTTTTGCTGTGAGATAGTATCACCCTGTCCATACTACACACACACACACACACACACACACACACACACACACACACACACACTCATACACGCTTCCTGGAGGCCAGGGGGAGGGGAGCAGGAACTGGAGCCCACCCCTCATCCCCCAGGACATCTACACAAAGCATGGCTTCATGGAAATCTTTTCAGCTTACTTAAGAGAAGCCATTTCCACCTGACTCCAGATCAGCCTTTGCCTTCTCTTATTAATATTTGTTTCTAGACTAGGCGGTTCTGTTGCATCTTTTCATTGTATCTTCCAGCAACCCCATGAATTGGGCATTTTATTATACAGATTTGCAGACAGAAAACTGGGGCATAAAGAAGTGCTGATCTGAGGTCACACCGGAGCTGGATCCAGGTCTATACCCCTGGGCCTTTGTTCTCCCCTTGGGAGAGCCACTCAACTATCCACCTACATGTCACCCTGATACAAGTTTGTAAAAAGCTTGACGTACATCGGTAACTTCTCCCCTCCTAAAGGTGACTGAAAGCTTTGCAAGGTGTCTTTCCCTCCAGTTCAAGCACTTCAAAAAGGCAGAAGGAGAGTTCACTTGCACCCATCTGCTGACATCCCACTGTCATCCACTCGGGCAGGTGGGTCATCACTCACCCAGCCGGCGGGTAGGTCTCCCAGCCACAGAGTGAGACCTTCCTTTGCGTCAACAGGCCAGCATGATCCAGGAGGTAGCGGGTGGACAGTGCAGGTATCTGCAGTCCCTCTCCCTGTTCAGGAGACACAGCAGACACAGCACCCAGGGAATATCTGAAGGTGTGGGCCCGGGCTGCCATCTGCCCTCTCCCTTTATAATTCGGAAGGCCCCAAAAAGGCATCTCCACAAGAGGCAGACAGGAGGGGCTCATGCCTTCAGGGGAGCCAGAATAAAGTGCTGACTCATAGTCAGGTGTGAGGAGAGCTCGAGAGGGGCGCAGGTTGGGGATGCAGCTTTGCAAGCATGGAGGTGCTAATCCCCTGTGCACCACTTGGCCCTCCCAGAGACCCAGAGGAAGGTGACGGATCAAGCTCTACATTAAGCTCCTGAAATGGATCAAACGCTGTCCTGGAGTTTCCAGGCTAAAAGGAGGCCCTGAACCTGAATGGTCACCATAATACCAACAGCTCACAGTTGAACAGCCCTCGACCCTTGCCAGGGTGTTTCATAACACAAGCTCAAGCCCGAAAACTTGGTGAATCTATGTCCTTGGCCTTTGTGCATCTTCTGTACCAGCCCAACAAGCATGTGTTGATTGAATGAGTTCATGGAAATTAATGAGACCCTCACAATGAACCAGAAGATGGTCAGGGTTACAAATTCATGTGTACACATGATAAGCAGGGAAGGAATGATATTTGTTGGAGGCAAGAGTACCAGTTTTAGCAAAGAAAATGATAAGATTTCCAGTAAATTTGAATTTCAGGAAAACAGCAAATAATTTTTTTGTCTTTTTTATGTTAGATTTACTGTGCTCTTCTATTAAAACAAATAATTTTTTTAGTATAAGAATGTTCTGTGAATATTTGGGGTATATTTGTACTAAAAAGGCCCGTTGTTTATCTAAAATTCAGATGTAACTGGGTGTCCTGCATTTATCTGGTGACTCCACTTGGGGGGTCTACTGTGCATCAAAGCTGTCTGCACATCTCTCCTTCTGTCCTTATACAGCCCTAGGAGGGAGCGAAAGTTAGTTATGTTGACCCAACTGTGTGGATGAGCAAAAGAATACATTGAGAGGTAACCTGATTTGCTTAAGGTCCCACAGTTCAGGAAGGCTGGGTGGGCACTGGAACCTTGAGCCTCTGATCTCCCTGTCGAGGGCTGCTTCCCCAACCCTTCTTTTTGGTGGGAAGGGGGTTTATAAACCAAGAAGAGACTGTGGTTGGCGCTGAGCTGTGGGGGATCCCACATCACTATGGACAGGAGCGCAGGTACCTGAGCCAAGTCCGCCAGCATTCCCGCGGGCAGCACCACACAGGCAGGTGGGGCACAGGTCCGAGACCCCTGCCACCACAGTTCACAATGAGTGCCTTTGTACCCAAGTGGTTTAGGGTCCTGTGTGGAATGCCTGGATGCTACACTAATAATAACAACCTCAATAATAATAACAATACAGTGACAACAATAACAATAGGTCATATGTGCCAGGCACATAACTCTTTGTATCCATTACCTGTTCAATCCCCACCACCACCAAAAAACATTAATCTTATTAGTATTGCTAATAGCTACCATTTGTTAAGTATGACCATGTGCCAGACCTACACTGATCTTTTGTGTTATTATCTCACTTAACAAAAACAACAATCTTATCAGGGAAGTACCATTATCCATGTCTCAGACGAAGATCAGAGAAGTTAAGAAATGTGCCCAAGATCACACAGCCATCACAAATCAAACCTAGGTCTGCCTCATTCAGAGGCCTATTGCCTTCTGCTTCTCCACCAAACCCTGGTGGGATTTCAAAGAGGCCCGTGGAGCTCTTACCAAGGCAGTTTGTCCCTATCGAGGGCAGGGAGATGGAATAAGGCAATGACAGTTCCAGCCTGCTCTTCCACGCCCCTTCACCCAGACCAAGGGATCTGTGTCAAAACACACCTCACTTCCCCGTGGGCAAATCCATCCTGGAGTAAAACTTCAAAATAAGCCTGTGGCCCATAATGCCACTAGTTTGTAAATTCTCACAGGGAGTGACCCTGCCTCTCCCATGATTGCTAGCACCTTCCTTACATAAGCCAGGCTAGTGAGGGCCTGTCATGGGTCTCATGGCCACCTTCCCATTGAGGTCAATTTCCAGCTCCATGCCCTATGGCCTGGTTGGATTAATGAGCAAAATGATATGACCAAGAACCCATAGGTTTCCTGAGAATTAGAAACCAATGTGTCAATCTTCCCAAATTAATTTATGGCTTCATTAATTTCATTTAAAATTCAAATGGGATATTTTTAGTGAAATCTCACAAATTTGGAAGAATAAACAAGAAATGTAGGGAGAAAATAGTATTGATTAGTGACTGGTGCTTCTTCCTTTTAGTATGTATTAAATTAAAACTGCAAGTATAAGCAAGTCATAGGCAGACACATTAACAGAGCAGAATTAAGAATCTAGAATTATATCTTATACAAAGAACTTGACATATGATAAAGGGTACACTTCAGATCAACAGTGAAGTGATGAATTATTTAACAAAAGGTTGCGAGGAAATGAAAACTTGGAAAAATACTAATTTAAAATACCGTGTCACTTCACAATCAAAACCCTTCCAGGTAATTGTCAAAATGTAAAAAAATAAAAAAAGGGAAGAACTACATAAGCATAAAAGAAATCACAAAGAAAATGATCAATTAATTTAACCACCACCAACTTAAAATTCATACATGGCAAAACCATAACAGTAACTCAGAATTTGTGTGCTTGGCCTATTATCTCCTCAGGATGCAGTCAGATGACAGGACTCTCTAGGTCAATGAATACACCTATTTCCATGGTAACACATGCTGGCAAGCTGCCCTCCAGAAAGTCTGAGCCAATTACACCCCCAGCAACAGTTTCTTTGAACCCACTGCTCTTACACCGACCATACCTGATAACTGTGAATCTACCATCACCACCAACCCGGCAGCAAATCGTGGACTACATTGTTTTAATCTGTATTCCCTTAATTATGAGTGAGAATGAATATATTTTCATATACTTATTTCTCATTTGTTTTTTTCTTTTATGAACTGTCTCTTTATGTCTTTTGATCACTTTTTAATTAAATAACTTGTCTTTGTCAAATTAATTTGTAAATTTCTTTTGTATTATCGAGATATTAACCCAGTGTCACATGTATGGTTAACTTTTAAACTTTCTTTAGTTCATCATTTGTATTTCAACTTTGTTCATTCCCTTTTTTTTTTTTTTTTTTTTTTTTGAGATGGAGTCTCGCTCTGCTGCCCAGGCTGGAGCACAGTGGTGCAATCTCAGCTCACTGCAAGCTCTGCCTTCTGGGTTCACGCCATTCTCCTACCTCAGCCTCCCGAGTAGCTGGGACTACAGGTGCCCGCCACCACACCCAGCTAATTTTTTTGTATTTTTAGTAGAGACGGGGTTTCACTGTGTTAGCCAGGATGATCTCGATCTCCTGACCTCGTGATCTGCCCGCTTCGGCCTCCCAAAGTGCTGGGATTACAGGCGTGAGCCACCACGCCTGGCCTGTTCATTACTCTTAATATGCAAAAGGACTTTTAGAAAATGT